TAGACACATTTGACTAAATGAAAACCCATATCAATTTAAAGTCATCTTTTCACTAGACTTTAAATCGTGGGTTGAGCTGTTGACTTTGACGCTGATGTAAAGATAGAAACTTTGAGCGAAAAATTGGTTTAAATTTTCTGACTTTACTGTGTTTACACCAAAGTTTTGACCTTTTATGCCTTTTCAAGGTTTAACTTGTCTAACTTCCAGCTTTATGATCCTTCCAAGTTGATCACATTGAGTGATCTTTGATTAGGCCAACAACTGGGCAACGATTTGATTAAATGCGGGAAAGACTCGAGCTGATAAGATTGCATGAATAAAAGTATCATTCATGGTCAATAAAATGATTTGTAAATCATGATTTCTGTTCTTGAAATCGATTTCCTTTAAAGATTAATTGCATTATTCAAACTCTGTTGAATTGATGAAATTTCTTGTTGATTTTCCATTTTTTATTCAATATCACATGCATGGCAAAGCATGAGTTCTTGAATTTCATTTGTTCATCTTGTTTGGAATGTAACATGAAAATGGATGTTGGCAGTGTGATAATTTGTAAGCTACTTAGAAAATGTGAGAAAATGAATTGGGAATGAGTCACTTTAATTTAATGTAATAAAAGAATTAGGAAGTTAAGAAAAGAGCTTGAAACAATGCGTGAGGCAGTTGAAGCAATTCAGAGTTGTGATAAGAAAGGGTCATGAATAAAATATTGATAAAAATTAAAGTTTCATGGTAAATGATTTATATTGAGAAGAAATGAGTAGCCAAGAAAATGAAGCATGAAGTACACCTTGTGTTACAAGATGAATTCAAGGTGGGTTCAAGTGAAAGAAAATTACTTAAGAAATTGCAAGTCGTCCATCTTTTAGACCAGCAATAATCCGGTAAACTTTTTTGCTGATAAACTTGACTGAAAACATTTTTTTCACTTTCATCTTAAATGTGCCATTAGATTTATCACAGTTTTTTCATAATTAAACCTGGAAAACGTTGTTCAACTGTCAAGTTTAAGTGGCAATGCATCAGTATAAATAGTGGTCCAGGGTCATTTAAGCAAAAAACAACAACACCAAAAGTTTTAATCAACTAATTTGTATTGAACAAGACTAGTTTCATTAGTTATAAAAGCACCTTTCGAGCGCATTTTTCCACATGTTTATCAAGACGCAAATGGTGTCTTGATCGTTGGAAACAATGCTTGTCAGTTGAAATGATCAAAGATAAATGACACCTAATATCGCGTGTATACGCAGAGAACGAAGAGCTCGGCTAACCACATTTCTTCTCGTTTTACAGTCTTCAATGTGTTACTAACTAATCAATTTATTTAATTTTTCTTTATTCGAAAATTATATTTACTCTTTTTGTTAGAAGATATTTGTGAAGCGATAAGATTTGATTCCAAAAGAAGTATCTGAATGAAAACAGACGAACTTTTCTTTATTAAAGTTTCCATCTCTGAACAATTTCAGCTCTCAAACTATAAATTTTGTTTAATAATAACCATTCTCTGGCATAATTGTGTTCCAAAATTTCATGAAATATTAGCATCATTACTGAGATGCAGAACAACATTTACATTCTTTTTCACAGTAAACTTATTTCTTCACATAATTTTCTCATCCTTTCGTTTTTTTCTGCTTGTACACACTTTTCATCTACTCTCAATCAATTTAACCAGAAGCTCATAAAAATTTATCATAAATTTTCATGAATAACTGATAAGTGCACAATTCATTTCAATGCTAACAAGACACAGATATAAAAAAAGGAATAAGAAAATAGTTGAAAGTGAAATAACAAGCTTCTTCAATGATTTGTGACTTTCATTATTGTCAGATTCACAAAATAAGAGTCCAATTGAATTATCCATTTGATTGATTTATATTTTCATGACGAATATAAAATGAAAGAAATTTCATTGTTTCATCATGATTTAGCTTCATTTTTATGTATCAAACAAGAATGATAATAAAATTTTTTCATTGTCTCTTCACCTGAAAAAAATTGAATTATCTTCTATGAGAATTTGCAGCAAGAATTTCATGATAAATATAATGGCAAAAGTAAATGTTTCACCGAGGATAAAAATTGGATAATTTGCAATTCTTGTGCCAGTTGCTTAATTAATTTCAATTGCAAATTTATCACTTTTCATGCTAAGAATGAAGGTAAAGACAAAACGTTTCAAATTAATAGCTATTAGAGAGTAACTAATATAATACCAAAGGGAACGAGTTGCTCTGGATATAAACTCTAGATTATTCAGTTAGACTGACTTTGATTAATGAATTTTCATCTTTTAATGAACAAAGTGTTGAATGTAAAGGCAATAAATAACAAGAATTGATAAAGCAAATCTGTTTAACAAATAACTTCGAGAGAATCGAAACTTCAGCAGATGTAAGAAGTATCAAGTGAAGTCAAATCGAACACAAACATTTTACAAAATTAAAACTTGTTTTCTCCTGTTGGCACATTTTCCGAGTCTTTTAGCCCGTTTCTGTTTTCCTTTTTGTGCTTCACCTAAAGTGGTGAAAATGCAATTAGACAGTTGAATGGACTGATTGAGTAGCAACAAAAAGTGAAACAATTTTACCATTTGCTATCAGCTGTTGAGTTGAAGCCAACAATCGATAATCAATATCTCCAGTGACTGTTTTTTGACTCCATTTTTGTCTTAATAAATATTTAGATAATAAGTTAGTCTTTAATGATGAAGAATGAAAAGGCCTACAAATGCACCTCAAGCTGGTCAAAATTGACAAAATCAACTGCTGTTGACTAACCTAGACTATCGGCTAATAATCACACTTCCGTTTGATATCAGAAGTTAAGTGAAAAAACAGAAAGAAAACTCCAAAAAAGGTCGATGCGGTAGGGCCGAGAATCCCGAGTAAAACATTCTGCTCTGTTTGACTCTCACCCTAGACAAGACCACATTCTGAGTACTAACCTTTTTTCCTTGAAACCATCCAAACGTAGTTTCCTACCAACGCCATTTGAATTTATCATTACATCAATCTTGACAATTTTAACAGTTTTGCGTCTTCTTGACTTGAATCGTGTGTGAATCTCTACCTAACTAGATGTGTGTTTGTGTGACAGGAGGTTTTTTGACGTTAATGACTTTCCACTAAAAGGGATGTGGCCATTAACTCTCTTCAATGTTAACCCTAAGTGACCACCGAGTCTATCTTATCAGTTTAGAGTCGGTAAACTGATCACTCTTCATACCTGCTCTTTATCCACCTATCCACCTATCCAAGTTTCCCTTTAACCTTTTTGAGTGTAACTTTTTTCTTTTCAAACATTACAAATGATTTCATTTTTTTAGCTTTTCTTTGCTGCTTTACTTGACCATTCACTTTAAAAGCCAAAAATTTATCCTTTCCTGAAACGGCCTCATAAATAGAGACCAAAGTGAATAACTTTGTCTACTCTTGTGATAACAAAAAGGCACACAGCTTCTGTTATGCTAATGAAAAGTATTTTATCAACTTTTTTCACTTCTTCAGTAAACAAGTTGCTAAACGATAATGCTGGTCAACTATGGTCATTTAATGCCGAAAAAGGCCATTTAACATCGTACATCTGCGAGTATCCAAACTGTTCACTTTGTTCAATCGTTTGTTTACTCTTCAAATGGATCATTTAGAGTCTATTTAAAGCTGCTCCTTTAGACTCAACACATTAGGCACCATGTAATGGTACTTCTGGTTTTGAATGTTGATTTAAAAATTGATTGAAATTAACTTTTCTTTTGCACTTCAAATAAACAAGACGCGTCCTTTAAACCAACGAAGCTAGCTAATTTGCCTGCAATACCAAAATGGTTCAAAACTTTTACCTGAATAAATGTTTATTAATTTAAACATTTTTCCTTCAACTTTTCGTTTCACTCACAAACCCGTATCAACTGAATCATCATCAGTTTACGTTTTCATATCTTCTCTCTCCATTGCCTTCCTTCCTTTACCAGCTCATCTCATCTTAATATCGTTTTAAAACGTTTTTTCGCTTCCTTAACTGTTACCTCCCTAATAATATAAATGATTATGATAAGTATCACTTAGATTATTTTAAAGTTACTCATTTTTTCTCTTCTCTAAAGATCACAGCTCATGTTTTTAAGCAATACATTAAAGAAACTGATGCAAAAATTAAATATCGTTCGGAATTGCAGTTCACCAATCAGCTATAAGTTTATAATGGAAATTAATATTTGTGTACAACTGTACATCACTGATTTTCACACGTTAATAAAGTAAAGGCAATGAGTTTGAAAGTAAAACAACTTAAAATTGAAATAAATAAAAACTTTTTGTTTCACAATCATAAGATATAAAAATTCAACATGTCACTTGCAGCATCTTTAAATCTCTTGATGAAGTCTTCATATATTTATCAATTGATAGTTAGATTATCAATCAAATAGAAACCAAACGGCACATCATGATTTTTTTTACAGAAGAAACATTTGAAAGTGTCGACAAGGCAAAGAAATTTAATTGTCTCAAGTTGAAAGTCTTACTGTATTAAGTCTTCGATTAGTTTTACGTTCTAAATGACCGTTGCACAAAATAAAATTGACTATGAAAACGCCCATTAAAATGGAACCAAATAGGCACAAAATAAAAGCCATAAAAGGATTTATTATCATCGCCTTTTGTGCATTATTAAATTGATAATCGTCAGGAGTCGAATGATATTTTCATCTTTTGTGATTGGATGCATTGATATCGATTTCAATATTCATTGTTTTATTGTAATATCTATGTCCTCAATGTAATGTTTGTTGTGGTTGCATTTTGCACCTTTATTTATCACACATCGAAGAGATAATGTTGATTGAATATTGAAACAGCGACAGTGAAAAATGATCTTAACTGTAATTAATCAATATCCATAACATTTACCACAAAAAAATACGAATGTCATTTGATTACTGATAATTAGCAATTTGATAATTCACAAAAGGTAATGAAGATAAATCTTTGCATGGTAAGTGTCTATTTAATTCCATTCATATTGGCATTTTCACAATCAATTTGGTTTTGTGAAAAAATAACCAAAATCAAACTTTAAAACATTTTCGATTTCAACTCAGGCAATACAAGTCTCAGCCATCAAAAAAGCAATATGCTTCTGTTAACAGTGTTTATAATTACTTGGACAACAATTATCAATGGAGCTTATTCAGGTAAATCCAACCACATCGACTGGGATAAAGTTTTGTGATACATTTGTTTTTCATGTCAACTTTTGCAGTGGTTCCCATTGATCTTCCATTGGACATTGAAGAGGGTAACTGGCTGATAAAAGCAACGCTCACAGACAACGTACGTATAAATATTAATATGTAGTTATTATTTGTTTGTCTATCAGTCATTTACTCATCACAATTTTATGTTGCAGGAGGACCCAAAGCAAATCAAAATGGATGAATACATTAAATCTGCGAATGGAACAATAAGAGGCAAAATAGTATTTAAAGTAGAAGACAAAGATCCATTCGAAATATTTTATACAAACGCAAACCAATACGAACGATTATTTTCTTTCGGTTTGTGACCCAACTTCAAAATCTTGCATTACTTTTTGACTCTTGTAAACATTTTCATCTCAATTGTTTTCAGGATTAACTTGTAATTATTTTGTTTATTCGAAATATCGTCACGGCTGGAATTACTTTGTAAATGGGTTAGTAAAAGATAATTACTCCACTAATTTGGTATTGCTTGGACCTTCAGTTATATTCAGAATTAATAAATTCGCACCTGTCTGGGTAAGTTTTCCCTTAACTGATCAATTATTAATTAATCAAATAATTCAATTTGACTTAAGAAAGCAGGCCAAGATGATGTTATTAGGGGCGTTAAGCAGCACAGTGTGACCACATATCTCAATCCAAAACTCGAGGTGCGGTTTTACTACAAAGGCAACAGTCTTGAAGGATTGAAAAGACCGACTCGCGCTTGGTTTCGTGGTTATGACCCCAACTACATGGGGAGTACGGAAGATAAATTTTGGTTTGACATATACAGTATTACTCGAGTTGACCAAAATTTTGATACGATTGTTACGGTGAGTAATATGCGCTATTTTTATCCATTTATTGACCGTATAACTTTTTTTTCTTCAAATTTCAACATTGTTTTAGCCTAAGCCTGGAATAGTTTGTGATAGATACTTTAGTGAATCTTCAGCCAAAGCCAAAGTACCTTTTCCAAAATTAACTCAACATTCACTACATTTCATTGCCAAAACCAAAGGTTTAAATGCAGGACCAGCTAAGAATGACGAAGTAAGTACAGTTTAGTATTATTGTGTTCAATAGGATGATAACGAAATTAATTTTTACAGGTTTATGCTGATGAAATGTACCAAATCGCGCGAATCAAAACTTCTACTTATGGAAAGGATAATGAAACCATTAAAACTGATATTATTTATGATTACCAATTAGGACTTGAATATGAATTTACACAAGAAGAAAAATGTTCAGTTTCTCCAATGAGTTTATCAGCACCTGGTATAGTTGAAGATTCATCATTGACTTATGGCAACTATAAACTTGATTTGAATCGATTGCTCAACTTTGACTTGAATTATCGTTACTTAGGACCAGTACTTTTCGTAAGAAGAAAAATAACATTATTAACTCTCATCTTTGCTTTAATCATTCAAAAACAATATGTGAATAAATAATTTCAGGAGGATCGAGATGAGATTGGCCTACATGCATGGGAAACACTCAATAAAGATTTTGAGGTTGGAGAAACAACTTATTCAAATTTCGTTACAACTCAGTATTTCAGTAAGCTAACAGTAAGTCAAACAAAATCTGTTGACAAATATCAATACTATATTAATATGATAATTGAAATATGCTAATGCAAACAGGATGGACAAACTGATTACACACTCGTTGGTACAACATTGAAAATCCCTGCAAACGAAGTAAGAATAAAACAAACTTCATAAAGTAAATTTGTTAATAAATACTGGCAAATCATTAATCTTCAAGAACTAAGATAATCCAAGTGAGCTGGGTATCAAAGGCTAGCATCAAAGTATTTTGGGTCCGATTTCTTAAAATAACCAAATTTCTGCATTCTTGGTCAAGTTACTTTTCAGTTAATTACGTTCAACTATCAGGGTCATCAAAAGTTCTGTTGTTTTTTCTCTGATGATTTCGCTTTTATTTCAAATTAGTTCTTCCACAATCAACTGCTGATTGCACGTATACAAGAACATAAGTACAAGTGTATAAGTTAATGTAGGCCACCTATAAGGTATTCATCTTCAGCTGAATAAGAAAAAATATTCCGTTCTTTATCATGTTAGACAAAGTAATGCCCAATGCAAAAAACTTATTAAATCACAATCTTGGTTTACATATGTTTACTCTCTTCGTGTATGTTTATCAATTTTCTTCAAATATTTTAGAAAAAAATGGCTGCTTCCCTTGCAACAAGGTACTACGATTATGGTCATGAGATTAGCTATTCAGATAGCATGGAAAAGTTTTCCGTTAAGGACTGCTATTCTGAACTAAAAGCTAAAAGAACCATAGCATTCTTCTTCACTTGTTCAGGTAAGCATTAAACTACATGTATGTTAAGATGTAAAGGAAAGTCGTCCTTTCTTAGCAATTCATATAACAAGTCACATTTGTTCAATATTTTAGGTACTCCTTGTGATTACTTCAACCAATATTATTATGACATCCAAGATAAACTAAGAGAAGGACTCATCAACTCTGGAACAATCTCAGCATCAAGAATCTCAAACATTGAACTAATAATTAACTCTGAAGAGATGATTATTTATGTTACCATTTTGGACTTTCCAAGACTGAAAAGTAGCGTAAAGTTTTGAAATTGTTAAATGTTAAACTGTTCAATTTTCTAGCATTTTTGCTTCATTTTGTTTTCTTTTGTTCGACAGATGCATTCAAGATGCAAAAAATGAAATTAGCTGAGAAAACATTAGCAACTTCATCTAGTGTTACAATTGATGGCGATGAAGAAGCTTGTTTGAGAACAAATTCATATAAATATGAACCATTCACGTAAGTATTTGACATAAGAACCAAACCAAGTTCCGTTAAGTAACTTTTTGTATCATTTACAGAGCCGTTGCATTCTGTAAGACAGAGAATGGTAATATATGTCAGAGAATCGACGAAGATAAAGTGAAACTTGTTGAAGATAAGGATAATGGAATTCCTTGCTCAGTTTTCATGACACCATTGAAAAATATTTTCCGTTATAACCGAGAGTTACCTTTAGAAAATATTCACAAGAAACTTGCTCTCATCGAAATCTCATTGACTGCACCGAATAGCAACGAGATGGTCAAATTGACTCCATACCAAGTAACAGATGTAACCAAAGTAGATGACGATGTTCATTTAACAAATTCATTGTATGAAACGATCATGCAAAACTCAAAACTAATCGAAGATAATCTCGATACAGTTCGAGTTGATGGAACTAATGACTTAAGTTCTTGCCGTCGAAAATGTGTCAAGTCAGCTGAGAATAACTGTCAATCTTTTTCATTTTGCACTTATGATGACAGAGTTGAATGCTTTGTATCGACCAATTCAACAGGCAAAACAACTCTTCATGAATCGTGTGATACTTATTTAATTGAAAGTCTAACAAAATATAAGAAAATTTCGTTAAGAAGGTTTATCAATATTGAAAAGTCTGTACCATTCGAGAGTTTTCTTGGAAAATGTGCCTCTTTTTGTTCCAATTCCGATTCATGTAAATCATTCCAATTTTGTTCTGGTTCGTGTAGCTTAGCAGGTTATTATACTGATGAAACAAGCGTTTATAGGGAAAGTTGCGATATTTATATTCGTAAGTGTAGTGCACCCGTTCATGCATCAATCAGAAGTATTCGAACTAAATTTTAACTTTATTTTCTTCACAGCAAAAGTATTGGACAGATTTGTATCATCTGGACAATCGATCGTCGAAGACGTGTTTCACACTGAAGTGAACCTCAATGCTGATCAATGTGCTGCTCTTTGTTATCATTGGAACGATAATGACGTAGTTTGTCAATCTTTCAATTTTTGTCCAGCACATGGGAAAACACCAAGTCTGTGTCATTTGTCGAAGTATTCAAGACATGATACTAATGAGAAACTGATTCACTCTGATACTTGTCAAAATTACGAAAGAATCAAAAAGAGTGTGAATGGACAGCACAATGCCGAGGTTAGCACCAACGTCACCCATTCTGGGACAATTTTCGGAATCATCGTTCTATTTATTACAACTGGACTGATTTCTGGAATTGTTGTTACAGTTGTATATTCGAAATTCTTTTCTGTTAAGAGCGATGCATCTCAAATTTATAATCGTAACACATTCAGTTGGACTAAGCATCTGAATGATGATAGACAATCTGTGAATTCTGACGACTCATTTCATTTTTCATCTGATTATGCTATTCCTTCAAGTGAATGACTACAATAAAATATTCATATAAGCTTTATAATAAGAACACAATAAATAGTTTGTATCCAAATACATGTATATCAGGTATCATGTATAACTATGTTTATGCGTTACTTTACTTATAATTGATAATTTTTTGGTTTCTTAATTTGTATATTTTTCTTTCAACTTTTCGTTTCATTCACGGATTCATATCAATAAAATCATAACAAGTTTACGTTTTCATATCTTGTCTCTCCATTGCCTTCCTTCCTTTACCAGCTCATCTCAATCAGCAATATCGTTTTAAAACATTTTTTTCGCTTCCTTAACTGTTACCTCCCTGATAATATAAATGATTATGATAAGTATCACTTAGATTATTTTAAAGTTACTCATTTTTTCTCTTCTCTAAAGATCACAGCTCATGTTTTTAAGCAACACATTAAAGAAACTGATGCAAAAATTAATATCTCTCACAATTGTTAGAATCAGACAATAAGTCGATAATGGGAATTAATATTTCTGTACAAGTGTACACCACAGATTTGCACATTTTAATATCGAAGCTAAGGTATGACCGATAAAATTTATGAATAATTTTGCAGAATTGAATCGCAGTTCTAGCATCTGCGAGGTCGAATTTCGCCATTTCTCGATCCTTCAAGACCCTGGTATGAAGTTGGAAAATATACGGTTTCAGAATAAAAAAAATCAGATTTTGACGCCTTTTCCATTTACGGTCAATTTTTGGTTAAAATTAGTCTATTTTTGCACAACATGTGCTTGGAAGTGTTGCTTTATTTTAACATTCAAATAGTAACTATAAGTCTAATCTGACGAAATTCACTTCTTCTAAAAAATTATTATCAAACTTTATCGGTCATACCTGATGAGATTAAACACTTGAAAGCAAAAGGAAATAAAGGAATAAAGCATAAGAGAAATTATTCAAAAAGTGTTCGGTAAATGAGTAAACTCGTTATCCTTCTTATTAAAGTACTATCACTATCACCTTCACTGAAGCACCCTGATAACTAGTATAACAAATATCTTATCACACATAAACATTTGAATACTGATGATTATCATAAAAATCCAGTTTATTTGTACGTTTTGTGTCTACTTCCAACTTCCAACTTACGTTGTTAGTCAACCAACCGATAGACAAATGTAAATTCCAAGAATTTAGTTTTTATCATGCACTGAATTCATCGATAAAATTACAGTTAGCATTTAAATACAATGCCAATTACAATTAATACCAATAAAGACATTTTATCGAAAATTGATAATCATCATATAAATTATAATTCTATTTCTTTTGTGTTAATTTGTTCAGGGCGTTTATGTAATCGAATTGATTTCGTGCGAAAATAGTCGAAATTTTTCTTTAAAAGATTTGATATTTTTATTCAGATGAAACAGTTCTGTATCATTAGTTTCAACCATCATCAGAACAACATGCTTTCATTAACAGTATTAGTAATTACATGGACAACAATTATCAATCAAGTTTATTCAGGTAAATCTTGCTACATCGACTGTGATGACTTTTTGTGCCTCATGTGTTTTTCATGTAAACTATTGCAGTGATGCCCGTTGATCTTCCATTGGATGTTGAAGATGGTAACTGGCTCATAAAAGCAAAGCTTACAGACAAAGTAAGTATAAGTTAAGTTCAAAAAGACGTTTCTTGTTTTTCTATCAGTCATTCAACTATCATAATTTGATGTTGCAGGATTACTCAAAGGAAATCTTTATCGATGAATACATTAAATCTGCAAATGGAACAATAAGAGGCAAAATAGTAGTCAAATTAGGCGATGACGATCCATTTGATATATTTTATTCAAACGCAAATCAATACGAACGATTAGTTGTTGTTGGTAAGTGTTAGAATTTCAAAATATAGCATTGATTTCGATTGTTATTAATATAAACATTTCCATCTAAATTGTTCTTAGGAGCTTCATGTACCTATTATGTGTATCGCAAAAATGGTAACGGCTGGAATCATGCCAGAAGTGCGTTAGGCGATAGCCTAGCCAATCATTTGTTATTGGTTGGACCTTCAGTTATATTCAGAATAAATAATTTCGCACCTGTCTGGGTAAATTATCTACTAATTTATTTAATTATTAATGTGTCTAACTGAAAATTTGAGAAAACTCGAAATTAATAAAATGACCAAATACGATTTCAGAAACCAGGTCCAGATGTTTTTGCTAGGGGCGGTAAACAGCATAGTGCGAATTTAGCGAATTTTGATTGGCATCTCAGTATTTGGTTCTACTACAGAGGCAATAGTCTCGAAGGATTGAAAAAACCGACACAGGTTTTGTTTTATGGTTATGACCCCAAATCGGAAGTTCTAACAGACGGTACATTTTTGTACGACTTATATATGATTACTCGAGTTGAACAAAATTTTGATGCCATCGTCACGGTGAGCAATAAGATTACACAACTGTGTTATTCATATCCATTTGACCAAATAACATTTTATCTTCAAATTTAAACATTGCTTTAGCCTAGACCTGGATTAGTTTGTGATAGATACTTTAGTGACTCTTCAGCCAAAACCAGAGCACCTTTTCCAAAATTAACTCAACGTTCACTACATTTCATTGCCAAAACCAAAGGTTTAAATGCAGGACCAGCTAAGAATGAAGAAGTAAGCAGTATCATAAAGTTAAATTGGTTGATAATGGGATTGATTTTCCACAGGTTTATGCTGATGAAAAGAATCAAATGATGAGAATAAAAACTTCAACTTATGGAAAGGATAATGAAATTATCACAACTGATTCCATTTATGATTATCAATTAGGACTTGCTTACGAATTTACAGAAAAAGGAAAATGTTCCATTTCTCCAATGGATTTATCAGCACCTGGTCTAGTTGAAGATTTATCATTGACTTATGGCAACTATAAACTTGATTTGAATCGATTGCTCAACTTTGATTTGAATTATCGTTACTTAGGACCAGTACTTTTCGTAAGAAGAAAAATAACATTAACTCTCACCTTATACCGAAAATACTTAAAAACAATTCATTAATAAATAATTTCAGGAGAATCGAGAAGAGATTGGAATACATGCGTGGGAAATACTGAATAAAGGCGCAGAGCTTGGTGGCCAATCTTATCCAAACGTCGTTACAACTCAGTATTTCAGTAAATTAACAGTAAGTCAAGCAAAATTTGCTGAGAAACATAAAATATAATTGAAATCTTCTAATTTAAAAGGATGGACGAACTGATTATGCATTTGTTGGTACAACAAAGAAAGCCTATGACAAAAATGTAAGAATTAAACTAATGTTCAATTCCTAAAAGAGCTAGTCAAGATAGTTATGAAATTAAAGCTAGCCTCACAATATTCTGGGCTTTTTTCATCTAGCTTACATAGTTAGTTCAATTTTCAAATCACTTTAATCGCTTTAATAAATGCAAAACAGGTTGCAATGGAATAATATAAAGGTCCAGTAAGGTTCATCGACCAAACTGACTCACATACGAAAACATTTAAGTTTAATAAGAAGCTCAAATCGGTCTTTAGATTGATAAATACACTAGCTCGTTTGAATCTTGTGTTATTTACGTGCACTTGGTTAATCTATCTTGGCTTACATAAATTCCTTTCGCTGAACGTTTCTTCAAAAATTGCAGAGAAAAATGAATGCTTCCCTAACAACAAGTTACTTCAATTATGGTTATGAGATGAGTTCTTCAGATAGTTTGGAAAAGTTTTCGGTTAGAGACTGTTATTCCGACCCAAAAGACGAAAAAACAACAGCATTCTTCTTCAGTTGCACAGGTATGCATAAAATTATGTTCAAATTCAGAGTTTTGCTGACATCTATGTGAAATACAGGGGGAAAATGATTAAATCTTGCATTTTTTAAATCGGAGTAATTCTTCTTTAGTCTTTTTAACCTTTTCTCTACAGGAGAAATCATTGAATTGAACTAATTGTCTCAATACTAGATTTAATTATTCCGTTAGTTCACATAGATGTCATCGCTCCAAAAAAAACAAAAAACTCGAGGGATTACTGTGCAGCATGAATCAGTGTCAGATCGGTAAAATCAACCTTTCTGAAAATTCCTTAATTATTCATATGCACTAACTTTTGTTCAATATTTTAGGTACTCATTGTGACAACTTAAGCCAATATTATTATCAAATCCAAGAGAAAGTTAAAGAAGCACTCGTCAACACTGGAACAATTTCAGCATCAAGAATCGCGAACGTTGAACCAATAATTAAGTCTAGAGAGATAATTATTTATGTTACGATTTTGGACTTTCCAAGAATAAAAAGTACCGTAAAGATCTAAACCAAATTTCTGTGATTTATTAATATTTGTTTTCTTTTGTTTGATAGATGCATTCAAGACGCAAAACATGAAATTAGCTGAGGAAACATTAACTTCATCTAGCGTTATAGTTGATGGCGATGAAGAAGCTTGTTTTTGGAAAAATTCATATAAATATGAACCATTCACGTAAGGCAACAAAAGACCCATTTTCCGTTTTGTAACTTTTTGTATCATTTACAGAGCCGTTGCATTCTGTAAGACTGAGAATGGTAATATATGTCAGAGAATCGACGAAGATAAAGTGAAAATTGTTGAAGATAAGGATAATGGAATTCCTTGCTCAGTTTTCATGACACCATTGAAGAATATTTTCCGTTATAGCCGAGAGTTACCTTTAGAAAATATTCACGAGAAACTCGCTCACATCGAAATCTCATTGACTTCACCCAATAACAAAGATGTGTTCAAATTGACTTCATACCAAGTAACAGATGTAACCAAAGTAGATGACGATGTTCCTTTATCGAATTCATTGTATGAAACGATAATGCAAAACTCCAAACTAATCGAAGATAATCTCAATACAGTTCGAATTGATGGAACTATTGACTTAGGTTCGTGCCGTCGAAAATGTGTCCAGTCAACTGAGAATAACTGTCAATCATTTTCATTTTGCACTTATGCTGATAGAGTCGAATGCTTTGTATCGACAAATTCAAATGATAAAATGGTGAATGATGCATCGTGTGGAACATATTTAATTGATAATCTAGCGAAATATAAGAAAATTTCGTTAAGAAGGTTTACCGATATTGAAAAGTCTGTACCATTCGTGAGTTCTCTTGAAAAATGTGCTTCTATTTGTTCCGATTCCGATTCATGTAAATCATTCCAATTTTGTTCTGGTGCATGTAGCTTAGCAGGTTATTATACTGATACATCAAGCGTTTATAGTGAAAGCTGTGATATTTATATTCGTAAGTAAAGTGAACCCGTTTTACCAGTATCAACCAAGATAAATATTTAAACTAAATTTTGACTTTATTCGTATCACAGCAAAAGTATTGGACAGATTTGCTATAACTGGAAAATTGTCGAAGACGTGTTTCACACAGAACTGAACCTCAATGCTGATCAATGTGCTGCTCTTTGTTATCATTGGAACGATAATGACGTAGTTTGTCAATCTTTCAATTTTTGTCCAGCACATGGGAAAACACCAAGTCTGTGTCATTTGTCGAAATATTCAAGACATGATACTAATGAGAAACTGATTCACTCTGATACTTGTCAAAATTACGAAAGAATCAAACAGAGTGTGAATGGATAGAAGAATGCTGAGGTTAGCAACAACGTCACACATTCTGGGACAATTTTCGGAATCATCGTTCTATTTATTACAACTGGACTGATTTCTGGAATTGTTGTTACAGTTGTATATTCGAAATTTTTTTCTGTTAAGAGCGATGCATCTCAAATTTATAATCGTAACACATTCAGTTGGACTAAGCAGCTTAATGATGAAAGACAATCTGTTAATGGTGACGATGGTTCATTCCAAATGTCATCTGATTATGCTATTCCTGTCAATAACTAAAATTAAAAATATGAAATTATAATTCATGATGAGTGAAATAATTTATGTATTTATTCTTTCAATTGCTTTGAGGAATCAGTTAATTACACGAATTGTGGCATAAAAAAAGATGAATCCTTAATACAAAGCCATCCTCAGAATAAAAAATATCCAAAAGTTTAAATCTTCAGCTTTTGACAATTTGTGCTATTCATTTGAAATGAAAAAGTCATTCTTGAAGCACCTCAAAAATATCTGTTCAAGTCGATAGTTGAACCTTTATTGGTTTCAAAGTTGGACAACTCGTTCAATTAAAAAGTTTCTCTGATTAACATTGACAGACAAGTAGAGTTTGAAGTTGAAACTAGTCTTTTTGTTAAGATGAGAAATCAGACTTTGTCACCAACCTCTTTACTTGAAATGCGCTCAATGTAACAATTAATCATCAAGATTTTTAATGAACTTTGAAAAAAACCCGCCAAAGTCAGTAGTAAAAGATACGGATTCTGCATATTTACTTCTACTGTTCAGAGCTCATGTTTGTAATCGATAACTGATGCAACAATTGAAGTTTAGAACGATTAGTTCAAATCAGCATTTTAATCGAACACTTATATCAAGCTTTCACTGATTTGACTTTTGCAATCATGCTAATGATCAGATTTTATAAAAAAAATTTGCCTCAATTTGGAATTATTAAAGTTCTTGTGCTATCACTAAACACCCTAATAATTAGCATAACAAACGTTTTATCACAAAAAAATAAAAATAGCTTTTGACTAAAATCCAATTGATGATCATGATTATCAATTTAAATTTGTTTATTTTGTGCTAATTTATTAAGGGCGTTTTCATAATCAATTTGGTTTAGGGGAAAAATAACCAAAAAATGCTTTGAAAATTTTCACTTTTGATTCATTTAAAACAAGTTTCAACCGTCGAAAAAAGCAACATGCTTCTATTGACAGTGTTAGTAATTACGTGGACAACAATTATCAATCAAGTTTATTCAGGTAAATTTCACTACATCGACTGTGATGACTTTTTGTGCTACATTTGTTTTTCATGTAAACTATTTTAGTGATGCCCATTGATCTTCCATTGGATATTGAAGATGGTAACTGGTTGATAAAAGCAAAGCTTACAGACAGAGTAAGTATAAATAGACGTTTCTTGTTTTGCTCGTCTATCAGTCATTCAGTCATGACTATTTCATGTTGCAGGATAACGCGAAGCAAATCAAAGTAGACGAATACATTAAATCTGCGAACGGAACAATAAGAGGCAAAATAACAGTCAAAGTAGACAATAACGATCCGTATGATATATTTTATACAAACGCGAATCAATACGAACGATTAACGGCTTGTGTCAAGGTTAAGGTTAAGGTTTGTGTCAAACTTCAAATCTATCATTGCTTTTTGATCTTTATAAACATTTCTATTGCAATTATTACAAGGAGCTATCTGTAACCTTTATGTCTATGGCAAAGACGGTAATGCCTGGAATTATTACAGAACCACGATAGGCAATAACTTCGCCAACGATTTGGTCCTGGTTGGACCTTCAGTTATATTCAGAATTAATAAATTTGCACCTGTCTGGGTAAGTATTGCACTAACTGGTTAATTACTAATGTTTCTCACAATGTTTGTCAGTGAAAAGTTACGAAGAAACGTGAAATTAATCAAATGATTAAACAAAATTTTAGAAAACAGTTAAAGATGAAATTATCAATGGAGTTATGCAGCATAGTGCGTACACAGCTCTTGATCCTCACCTCGATGTCTGGTTTTACTACAAAGGTGACAGTCTTGAGGGATTGAAAAGACCGACCCAGGCTTTCTTTTCTGGTGATGACCCAAAGTATTATCGTACAACAGGAGGTTTATATTGGTACGACTTATACACTATTACTCGAGTTGACCAAAATTTTGAAACTATTGTTACGGTGAGTCATATAATTACACAAATGTGCTGTTTTCATCAACAATAGATCAACTTTTTTTCAAATTTCAACATGGATTTAGCCTAAACCTGGATTAGTTTGTGACAAATACTTAAGTGACTCTTCAGCCAAAGCCAGAACACCTTTTCCAAAATTAACTCAACATGCAGTACATTTTATTGCCAAAACCAAAGGTTTAAATGCAGGACCAACGAAGAAAGAAGAAGTAAGGAGTAATATTAAGTTTAATTGGTCAATAACGAATTCGTTGTTTTACAGGTTTATGCTGATGAAAAGAATCAAATGATGAGAATCAAGAGTTCAACTTATGGAAAGGATAATGAAATTATTACAACTGAATTCATTTATGATTATCAATTAGGACTTGAATATAAATTCGCAGAACAAGGAAATTGCTCAGTTTCTTCAATGGATTTATCAGCACCTGGCATAGTTGAAGATTCATCATTGACTTATGGCAACTATAAACTTGATTTGAATCGATTGTTCAACTTTGACCTGAATTATCGTTACTTGGGACCAGTACTTTTCGTAAGAAGACAAATAATATCGATAACTCTCATCTTTAAACTCAATTATTTGAAAAAATATTAATAAATAATTTCAGGATGATCGAGATGAAATCGGAATACATGCATGGGAAATACTCAATGAAAATGTGGAGTTTGATGGTAAAACTTATCCAAATGTCGTTACAACTCAGTACTTTAGTGAACAAACAGTGAGTCGAACAAATTCTATTGCGAAACGGATACGTATATTATAATATAAAATATTCTGACTTGAACAGGGTCAACGAACTGATTACACAGTTGTTGGTACAACAGTGAAAGCTTATGACAAAGATGTAAGAATAAAAAAACTGACAATAAATACGTATATTTGCGAAGCTTTGATCTTCAAGACTAAAAAGAGTTAGCGCAAGAGAACTAAGGTATTAAAGGGCTATTATGGGCTCAATTTTCGGACTTGGGTCAGTTTTCAAATCATTGTAATCGCTGTAACGAATTCAAAAAACGTTTTAGTTTACTTTGGAATTGGCTAAAAACTCTTTTGGATCTTGGTTTTCTTGTGTTTAGATCACTCATTTTGGTTTGTATGAGTTTACTTCCTTCACTAAACGTTTCTTCAAACATTTCAGAAAAAAATGGTTGCTTCCCTTACAACAAGTTACTTCAATTATGGTTATGGGATGAGTTCTTTAGATAGCATGAAAAAGTTCACCATTAGAGACTTTTATTCTGACGCAAAAGCCGAAAAAACCATAGCATTCTTCTTTAGTTGTACAGGTAAGCATTAAATACGTCTAAAGTAATATTAATGTCAGATCGGCAACTAATTTCTTTTAAAAAATTTTCTGACCTGTTCATATGCGAAATCTTTTGTACAATATTTTAGATACTCCTTGCATTTATTTCAACTCATATTATTATCAAATCCAAGATAAAGTCAAAGAATCACTCGTAAACACGGGAATGATTTCAGCATCAAGAATTGCAAACATCGAACCGATCATAAGTTCTGGAGAGATAATTATTTATGTTACAATTTTGGACTTTCCAACAATAAAAAGTAAGATAAAAATTAACAAAATTACTTCAATTTGCTAAAATTTTGTTTTATTCAATTTTAATTTGTTCATTAGACGCATTCAGGATAAAAAATATGAAATTAGCCGAGGAAACATTAGCTACTTCATCTAGAGTTATAGTTGATGGCGATGAAACAGCTTGTTTGAGAACGAATTCATATAAATATGAACCATTTACGTAAGCTTTGACGTAAGAACCATTTTCCGTTTTCTAAATTTTTGTATTATCCACAGAGCCATTGCATTTTGTAAGACTGAGAACGGTAATATATGTCAGAGGCTCGATGCTGAAAAAGAAAAATTCTTGGAAGATGAGAAAAATGGAATTCCTTGTTCAGTTTTCATGACACCATTGAAGAATATTTATCGCTATAGCCGAGAGTTACCTTTAGAAAATATTCACGATAAACTCGCTCATATTGAAATCTCACTGGTTTCACCCAACAACAACGAGGTGTTCAAATTGACTCCATACCAAGTGACAGATGTAACCAAAGTCCATGACGATGTATACGATTCATTATATGAAACGATGATTCAAAACACAAAACTAATCGAAGACAAACTTAATACAATCGAAGTTGTTGGCACTACTGACTTAAGTTCCTGCCATCGAAAGTGTGTCCAGTCTGCTGAGAATAATTGTCAATCTTTTTCGTTCTGCACTTATGATGACAGAGTTGAATGCTTTGTATCGACTATTTCAAATGGCAAAACAACTCTTGATGAATCATGTAGCACCTATTTGATTGAGAACCTAACGAAATATAAGAAAATTTCGTTTAAACGATTTAAATACATTGAGAAGTCTGTACCGTTCGAGAGTTCTCTTGAAAAATGTGCCTCTTTTTGTTCCAATTCCGAGTCATGTAAATCATTTCAATTTTGTTCTGGTTCATGTAGTTTAGCAGGTTATTATACTGATACATCAAGCGTTTACAGTGAAAGATGCGTATATAGATTTATATTCGTAAGTAAAGTCATTCTGTTAATGTATTAATATCCCTCAGAAGAAATATTCAAATTAAATTTTGACTTTATTTGTGTCACAGCAAAAGCATTGGACAGATTTGCCATAACTGGAAAATCGATTGTCGAAGACGTGTTTCACACAGAACTGAACCTCAATGCTGATCAATGTGCTGCTCTTTGTTATCATTGGAACGATAATGACGCAGTTTGTCAGTCTTTCAATTTTTGCCCAGTGTATGGTAAAACACCGAGTCTTTGTCATTTATCAAAATATTCAAGACACGATGCTAATGAGAAACTGATTCATTCTGATACTTGTCAAAATTACGAAAGGACTGAACAGAATGAGAAAAGGCAACAAAATGCTGAAGTTATCACTGAATCTAGAAATTCTGGCATGATTTACGTAATCATCGTACTATTCATCACCACTGGACTGATTTCTGGAGTTGTTGTTGCAGTTGCTTATTCTAGATTCACTTCTGTTAAGAGCCATGCATCTCAAATCTACAATCGTAACACATTCAGTTGGTCTAAGCAGCTAAACGACGAAGGTCAATCTGTGAATGGTGAGGGCTCTTTGCAAATGTCATCTGATTATGCTGTTCCTGGTAGTGAATGACTACAATAAAAAATATTGATATCAAGTTTATGTGTGTTGATCAATAGTTTAATGTATAAATTTTAATAAAGTTTATCAATACTAATAAAATACTAAATAAATACTCTTTAAATATGTCTCATATGTCTATGTACACATAAAGTATGCAAGTATGAATGGTGCAGTATCTTCAAAAAAATACTAATTTTAAAGAATTGAATATTTCAGCTTGCTTAAGCAAAGCAATATCGTAAAATTTTTTATCACGTGCATAGACCTGAAATAGTTCAAATTGAGCGGTTTCTGCTGAATCTTGACTCATTCAGCACTAATTTTCTGCTATTCCAACAGCAAATATGGATACAGCACAATCGTTTCACTTAATACAGAAATCTTAATTTTGTTTCTCTTTCTTTTGCATGGACGTTTTCATCATCACTGCACCCTCAATTTTCTTTGGGTTGAATATCTAACGAACAATGAGTCAGATAAAGAATGAAAACCTTTTTAGAAACGGCATGAAATAATGCATAAGAAGAAATTATCGAAAAAGTGATCTGAAAATGAGTCAATTCGACTTCCTCTTTATTATCACTCTATCATTATCACATTCACTAAAACATCCTAATAAGTATAACAAATATCTTATCACAAAAAATAATAAAAAAGTATTTGAGTACTGATGATTATCAATTTAAAATCCAGTTTATTTGTACACTTTGTAACTATTTTTTCAACCAAACGATACACAAAATGACAATATCAATAACTCAATAATTATCATTCACTGAGTTCATCAATAACATTACAGTTAGCATATGAATTCAATGTCAATTAAAAATCAATATCAAAAGAACATTTTATCAAAATTTGATAATCATCATATAAATTATAATGTTGTTTATTTTGTGTTGCTTTATTCAGGGCGTTTTCATAATCAATTTATTTTCTGTTAACCAAAATTGTGATTTAAAACATTTGCAATTTCGTTTCATGCAATACAAGTCTCAACCATCATTAGAACAACATGCTTTTATTAACAGTGTTAGTAATTACTTGGACAACAATTATCAATCAAGTTTATTCAGGTAAATCTCACTACATCGACTGTGACAATTTCGTGCTAAATTTGTGTTTCAAATGACTATTACAGTGATGCCCATTGATCTTCCATTGGATATTGAAGATGGTAACTGGCTGATAAAAGCAAAGCTTAGAGACAGAGTAAGTACAAGAGACGTTTCTTACTATTATTTCGTTCTTCTATCGGTCATCAACTCATCATAATTTTATGTTGCAGGATAGCTCATTGGACATCAATGTCGATGAATACATTCAATCTACAAATGGAACAATAAGAGGCAAAATAGTAGTCAATATTGACGGCTACTTGCCATTTGATGTATTTTATACAAGCGAAAATCAATACGAACGATTAGTTGTTGTTGGTTAGTGTTAGAATTTCAAGTACATGTATAGCATTGATTTCGATTGTTATAAACATTTCCATCTAAATTGTTCTTAGGAGCTTCATGTACCTATTATGTGTATCGCAAAAATGGTAACGGCTGGAATCATGCCAGAAGTGCGTTAGGCGATAGCCTAGCCAATCATTTGTTATTGGTTGGACCTTCAGTTATATTCAGAATAAATAATTTCGCACCTGTCTGGGTAAATTTTCTACTAACCTATTTAGTTATTAATTTGTTTCACTGGAAAAATGCATTGATTAAACGACTAAATACAATTTCAGAAATCACGTGAAGATGTTGTTATTAGGGGCGGTAAACAGCATACTGCGCGCGTGGATCTTGATCTACATCTCAATGTTTGGTTCTACTACAGAGGCAATAGTCTCGAGGGATTGAAAAGACCAACAAGGGCTTTCTTTACTGGTTATGACCCCAAATCGGAAGTTCTAACAGAAGGTAGATTTTGGTACGATTTGTATATCATATCTCGAGTTGAACAAAATTTTGGTACTATTGTTACGGTGAGTAATAAAATTACACAACTGAGTTATTCATTTATTGACTAAATAACCTTTTCTCTTCAAACTTAAACATTAATTTAGCCTGAGCCTGGAATAGTTTGTGATAAATACTTTAGTGACTCTTCAACCAAAGCCAGAGTATCTTTTCCAAAATTAACTCAACAAGCAATACACTTTTTTGCCAGAACCAAAATTTTGAATGCAGGACCAACGAAAAAGGAAGAAGTAAGCAGTATTATGGAGTTAAATCGATGAATAACGCAATTGATTTTTCACAGGTTTATGCTGATGAAAAGAATCAAATCTTGAGAATCAAAAGTTCAACTTATGGAAAGGATAATGAAATCATGACAACTGAAAGCATTTATGATTATCAATTAGGACTTGTATACGAATTCACAGAGACAGGAAATTGTTCAGTTACTCCAATGAGTCTATCATCACCTGGTATAGTTGAAGATTCATCATTGAGTTATGGCAACTATAAACTTGATTTGAATCGATTGCTCAACTTTGATTTGAATTATCGTTACTTGGGACCAGTACTCTTTGTGAGAAAAAATACCATTGATAACTCTTATTTTGCGCTTCAACCATTTGAAAATAATATGTTAATAAATAATTTCAGGAGGATCGAGAAGAGATCGGAGTACATGCATGGGAAATACTCAATAAAGACGCAGAGTTTGGTGGTAAAACTTATCCAAACGTCGTTACAACTCAGTATTTCAGTAAAGCAACAGTAAGTCAAGCAAAATCTGTTGAAAAAACATAAGTATTATACTGATGTATAATTGAAATATTCTGATTTGAATAGAATGGACAAACTGGTTATACACTTGTTGGTACAATATCGAAAGCATATGACAAAGATGTAAGAATGAAACGAAGCACTAAGGCTCAAGTTAAAAGAGCTAATTCAAGAGAGTTATGAAATAAACGGCTAGCGTCATAATATTCTGGGTTTGGTTACCAAACTTAACTCAGTTCTCAAATCACTGTAATCGCTTTAGCAAATGCATAACAGTTTCAGGTTGATTTGAAATAGGATAATACTACAAATATATATACAAATTTAGTATAAAGTTGAATGGCCCAGAAAGTTTCATAGACTGAATTGATAACTTGGATATGAAATGCGATGAAAACATTTAAGTTCAATGAGAAGCTCAAATTGCTCAGTTAGATTGTAAAATGGAATAGCTCGTTTGAATCTTGGGTTACCTAAATTTATTCCTTTCGCTGACCGTCTTTTCAAATATTTCAGAAAAAAATGATTGCTGGCCTTACAAAAAGTTACTTCAATTTTGGTTATGAGATGAGTTCGTCAGATAGCATGGAAAAGTTTACAGTTAAAGATTGTTATTCCGATCCAAAAGCCAAAAAAACAATAGCATTCTTCTTCACTTGCGAAGGTATGTATGAGACCAAGTTGGAATATATAAAATCAAATTCAGATGGGCAAATAATCCCCTCTATGCATTTTTTGGCTATTCATACAATTTTTGTTCAATATTTTAGATACTCCTTGTGATAACATCAACCAATATTATTATCAAATCCAAGATAAAGTTAAAGAAGCACTCGTAAACACTGGAACAATTTCAGTATCAAGAATCGCAAATATTGAACCAATAATTAGTTCTAAGGAGATAATTATTTATGTTACGATTTCGGACATTCCAACAATAAAAAGTAACGAAAAGATCTGAACGAAATCTATGTAATTTGCTAATATTTTGTTTTGTTCGATAGATGCATTCAAGATGCAAAACATGAAATTAGCTGAGAAAACATTAACAACTTCGTCAAGAGTTATAATTGATGGCGATGAAGAAGCTTGTTTGAGGACGAATTCATATAAATATGAGCCATTTACGTGAGTCATGCAACAAAAGTACCATTCTCCGTTTTCTAACTTTTAGTTTCGTTTACAGAGCCATTGCATTCTGTAAGACTGAGAATGGCAATATATGTCAGAGAATCGACGAAGATGAAGTGAAACTCGTTGAAGATAAGGATAATGGAATTCCTTGTTCAGTTTTCATGACACCATTGAAGAATATTTATCGTTATAGCCGAGAGTTACCTTTAGAAAATATTCACTAGAAACTCGCTCACATTGAAATCTCATTAACTTCACCCAACAACAACGAGGTGTTCAAATTGACTCCATACCAAGTGACAGATGTAACCAAAGTCCATGACGATGTATACGATTCATTATATGAAACGATGATTCAAAACACAAAACTAATTGAAGATAAACTCAATACAATTCAAGTCGATGGCACTATTGACTTAAATTCTTGCCATCGGAAATGTATTCAGTCAGCTGAGAATAATTGTCAATCTTTTTCGTTTTGCACTTATGCTGATAGAGTTGAATGCTTTGTATCGACAAATTCAAATGGTAAAATGGTGAATGATGCATCTTGTAAAACTTATTTAATTGCTAATCTAGCGAAATATAAGAAAATTTCGTTCAAAAGATTTAAAGATATTGATGATTCAGTACCATTCGAGAGTTCTCTTGAAAAATGTGCTTCTATTTGTTCCAATTCCGAGTCATGTAAATCATTTCAATTTTGTTCTGGTTCATGTACTTTAGCAGGTTATTATACTGATGAAACAAGCGTTTATAGTGAAAGTTGCGATATTTATATTCGTAAGTAAAGTGAACCCCTTTCATTAGTATCAACCAGTATAAATAAACTAAATTTTCACTTTATTTGTATCACAGCAAAAGTATTGGACCGGTTTGAATTAACTGGAAAATCGATCGTAACAGACGTGTTCCACACTGAAGTGAACCTCAATGCTGACCAATGCGCCTCTCTCTGTTATAATTGGAACGATAATGAAGATGTTTGTCAATCTTTCAATTTTTGCCCAGCACATGGTAAAATACCAAGTCTATGTCATTTATCAAAACATTCAATACATGATGCTGATGAGAAGCTGATTCACTCTGATACTTGCCAAAACTACGAAAGGATTAAACAGAGTGAGAACGAGCAACGAAATACTGAGGTTATCTCTAAAGTTACACACCCTGGGCAAATTTTTGGAATAATCTTAGTTTTCGTTACCACTGGACTAATTTCAGGAATTGTTGTTGCAATTGCGTATCTCAAAATTTTTCCTGTTAAAAGCAATGCATCTGAAATCTACAATCGTAACACTTTCAGTTGGACTAAGCAACTAAACGATGAAAGACAATCTGTGTATGGTGATGGTTCTTTGCAAATGTCATCTGATTATGCTATTCCTGTAAGTGAATGACTACAATAAAAAATATTGATATCAACCAGCATTAACGAAGTTTGAGCAACACTAGAAAGAAACTAATGCAAAAAGTTTGCTATCGTTTTAAGTAGCATCGCAATCAACCAATAAGCTATAAGCTATAAGTTGATAATGTAAATGCATACAAATTAAGTGAAAAGCAAGAAAAAGGTACAACTTTTCAATATTCAAGAAGGCAAAAAAAGCTTTGAATCACATTATTGAAGTAAAAAATTGATTCAATTTCCAGGGCAAAGTCAATCAACATGCCATGACGTTTGAAAAACATTATGTAAAGAAAAGTTGAAAGTTAATCTTTCCTGATCAATCTTATTTTCATTCTCAGTTTCTACACATTTTTTGCAGTGTTTTACTTTGCAGGTCATTTGTGCCTAATTTTAACATGAAAAAACAAGACTTAGTCAAGAAACAAGAAAATGTTGCTTGTTTAAATAATCATGGGTAAGCTAAGCTTGAAGCTCTAATCCTAAACGCGTGAGTCTCTCTCTCTCATTCTCTGGTTCAAGAAGAGGAAAACTAAGAAGCAAAATAATGTGGATATTAAAGGGAAAAGCCTTCATCATCCTCATCATCAAGTGACAAGAGCAAGATGATGATGACAAGAGTAAATAAGAAAGAAGAGGAAAAAAGGGCAAAACAAAGAGCAAAAATCTGAACACACATTGTCAATGAAATGAGAGGAAGAGATGAAAGATTCAATTTCATTGACAGTCTAAACTTTAGTAGGTTTATTAACCTAAAAAAGCTGTAAATCCGTTTGACTCTTGACTCGCTCTCTCACTCTAATCCTGTTCACATGATATTTTCCTAAACACTAATATCATCAGTTTTCTCCTCATCAAGCTAATCATCCAATATTAACTTTTCCTCATCATGGACCTCATCATCTTCATCATTCATCGAGAAAAAACTTATTTGTTTTCATTGTTTAAATTTTGACGTTACTTTTCATTAGCGTCCCATCAAGGGCAACATTGACTTGTGACTGGTGACAATTTGGATCGCTCAATAGACTCGAGTCAAGTTGCTCGAGTTTATTCATCTTACAAAATTGGAAGCACAAAAAAGAGGTAAAAGAAAGAAAAAGAGAAAAGAAATTCGACTAATGAGATTACCTTTTAAAAAGCTAATTTAGTCAAATAATCCTCATGAAATCTGAGTCAATCCTTCTGTTCAGTTTTTTTCTTCTTCTCTTTGTTTCCATCACATCATTGGCATGCATCATTTTATGAATAAAAATACTTTCCATATCAAGATGATATTCTTACCTATTTTAATCTTGATGATTAACAGTTTTCCCTTCATTTTCATCTTAACTTTTGGTCTTTTTTGTTCTCTTTCTTTCCTTCTTTTATCATCTTGAACCACCTCATCTTCAGCATCCCTTTAACCATGATATTCATTGTAACTTGAAATTGGTTAACAAGAAAAAGAAATAAAAAGATGAAGTAATCTTGAACCATGATCATATTATTATATCAAGTGTTCTTAAGATTCTCACGCAATATATCAATACCTTATGAGCCTTTTCATCTTCAACTCTGTTGATAATTGAATCTTCATCATCATCAATTTCTTTCTTCTTTTTCATTCTCTTATCTTTTTCTTTTCTCTCAAATTCATCAGTTTATTCCCATTGTTTCAACTTGATCAACTTATAATATCATAAAGCGAACATTGAAACCCTTTTTTTCTCCTCTTCTCGGTGAACCAATTTTCCATGAACACGATCTTCAACAGAACAAAAATGAATAAAAATCTTTTCCTTATTAACCCAACAGAGTCAACAAATGAAATCATCTGAATGCAACAAATTGAGCTGAAACAGAAAAAAGAATTTGCTTTTTTCGAAAAGAAAAAAGTACATGGAAATGCCCATGATTAATTGTCGATATAAATCGCAATAATTGAATGTTGATGAATGAAGATTGAATAGATTGATTGTCCATCAACAGTTTGCTCAAGTTCGAGTTTTGTCGATAGATCTTGTTAATATAATGAAGAGTAATCGAGTGAAATAATGGTTGATAACTCTTGAGTAACACTTGAATGGAAAATATTGATTGAAAAGTGATTGCAACTTTTATAATAAACATTATTATCTTTTCTTGAAAATCAAAAGTTTACCTAAAAATCCAAGTTGCCATGATGATAATGAACAGAGAATTGGAAAAGGAGAGAAAAAGTATAATACACTTTTCGATTGTTTATTGTTCCTCTTCATCTCTTCTCATTATTGTTACAAATAGAATGTAATGAAAGATGAAGAAAAAAAATTTCCTCCTTTTCTTTTCTTCTTCTTCTATTTTCATTGTCGTTTAAAAATTTCTTCCCTCAACATTCTTGATTCCATTTCATCAAGCCAATCAACAAGACCAATGGTCATTCAGGGAAGAAAAGGAAGAAGCAAAAAGAAGAAAAAAAGAGTGGAAAATGAAGAAACAGCAATTCATCCACTTCTCTCTTAACCTTTATACGATCGAATTCGTCTTTTTATACAACCGTACCTTCTTCATCTTTACCTTTTCCTCAACTCTAATCGGATCCATCATTATCATTGTTACAAAAGTTGAACAAAATCAATCAGTAAATTCACGTAATAAATGATGATATTGATGATCAAGAATCATGAAAAATAATGAAAAGGAAAACAAAGCAACATTTGATTGGAAAAGTTTTTTCAATGAAAAGTCGCCTTTAAATCGATCTTGACTTTTTTTCATTCAACTATTGATAGTCAATCTAAATCAATAAGTTTCAATGATTTGAAGCTTCACCAGTTTTCAGTCAACTTCATGGACGGAGAAGAAAAAAATTGACTGGAAATCAAATTTAATGACTTTTCTCACTTAATTTAATTTTAATGTTATCATCACCTTTCACCATTGTCATGCGAGTAAAAGTGTGCAAACGTAATGATATTATTGCTCTATTATTACAAGTTATATGACTAGTAGTCCGAATAGCTGGTCCTATTCAATTTGCCAATTTTTTCCTCTTCTCTTTGAGTTACCTTTTTTTCCCTCTCGTGCTTTTTCATGTGTTAAATTGAAATAAACAGAAGAGAGAAAATGAAAGATTTGGTGAAAAAAATAGCAGATACAAGGATGAGATGATGTTGATAGGAGCAAGAAAACTTTGGATGCTAATTTTAATGCTTAGATGGCTTATTCTTTGTGGTGAGTTTTCTTCTCTTTTTTTTCTTCCTTTTCACCTTGCATTACCTTAGACTGTATTATGTTTATTTTTTTTCTTCTTTCATAAACACTTTGAGCTTTAGTTTTGTTTCCCATGTAACCCACAGAGAGAAAACCACAAACTGAAGATTCACTCTGAAGAATTTTCATTCATCCATGAGTTTCTTTCCTCTCCTTGCTGACATAATAACTAGTCAAACAAACACAGAAACAGTAAAAAAAAGAATAAGAAAAGAGAGAAAAAACATTCATCATGCTATTCTCACCTTTTGTTTTCCAGGCAATAGCCACCTACAGATCTGACCGCCAACGAGACAAAGCCAAGAAAACGTTACTCAAAAGTGAACTCAACTTTTTTACTTTTCATTTTTTTCGTTCGATTTTGGAAAAACATTGCAATTCCAAATTTCGATTTTTTGCAAAAAAAAACTTAATATTTTCAATCGCTAGTTCCGATCATCTTGGAAAATCATTTAAGATCATTGAGTTTCCATGTGTTGAAATTTTCCAGACTCTCGATCGATTTGAATTCAAGGTTTGCTACTGATTTTAAACATCGACTTGTAATGATAAAAAGGTTTTTATAAAATCTCCAAGTCGCTTTCACTAATATTGAGTCGATGAAATTCAAAATGAGTAATGATTGAAAGTGAATTAACATTAATTTAAAACTTTATGTTATGTAATATTGCATTGAAACTAATAGAAACAAATAGCACTAATAATAGGTTACATTGAATGGGTACAATTAGATTTTGATGATTGCTTTTTTTGCCAAATTACGCTTTAAAATTGCAATTAATAACATTATCATTTATAATTTATAGATTCTCACACAAGAGAGTGAACCAGAGAAAAGAGCAACATCAATTTATCCTCAACACCGGAAATAGCAGAATTGAAAATGAGAAAAGAAACAATTATTTAATTCTCTTTTCTCTCTTACCTTTTTTTCCATTAAAGTGCAAAAGCAAAGGTAAAGCAAGACAACAACAACAAAAAGGTTGAACATTGTTTGAGCAATAAACAAGTTAACAAAATGTGAAAAAAGATAAAAATGTAGCTTTAATTAAATGGGTCCATCAGCGTTTTTTTTCAAGTCAAAAAAAGAGATTCAAGAGGTTCTGTTTACCTTGTCTTTCTATTTACAGACTCAGAAGCAATGAGAGCAAGAAAAGGGCAGAAATCTGGTGAACAGCCCAGGTAAATGGTATTAAATGAAACTCACGAAACTTGGTAAACGTAACAAGGAACCAAACTTGCAATTGTATAAATAAATACATATATATATCAAGTGCTCAAGATGGGGCAAAATGGGCTTTAAATATCCACCCTTGTTCAAGGCGTTTTAGGTTACTGATGGAAATGAATCAAATTGAATCACACAGCCAAAGTTGAAAAACACGTTTATCTAAACATTTTTATTTTTCTTTTTTTTCCTTTTTCCACCTTTTCCAATGCATTTAATGTTTACCTTTTTCTTTCATTCCATCTCATTTCAGAGCAATCATTCAACAAAATGCAAGCTCAATGACAGGTAAAAGCCAATGAATGCAATCCTTTCCGTTTTTTATTTGCCTTTAGTAAAAGAAAAATGTTTCAACTTAAACTTCATTTTTCATTTTACCTTTTTTTCCGGTTTCATTAAGTTAACAATTTTGCTACGGAAATGAATTGAATTTTTCGATTCTTTTTTTCCAATGATTAGTATTTTTGATTGCATTCATTGCTTAAATGATGTAAATGTTTGTTCAAATTATCTCAATAGTTTAATTCTTTTTTTCCTTTTCTCTCCCTGTGTGTTCAT